CAAGTTGCCCAGGCGGGTCTCGAACCCACGGGCTCAGGCAATCCCCTCACCTCAGCCTCCCAAAGCGTGGGATTACAGGCTGACCCACTGAGCCCGGCTTTAGCTTTATTTTTCACTGACCTTATACCCAGTTCCTAGGGTTATACTCCTGCACTTCTCATAGGTTAGAATCATGTCACTGTGGGACTTCATGGGGTCCTGGGGACAGGGTGATGTGATGTGAAACCTTCAGGGGATGCAGTGACATAGAAAGACATCGTTTTCTCACCGCCCCCTCATCCCCCCCTTTTTCTTTCTCCCTATGGCAAATGCCCACTGCCAGGGACTTTCAGCCGAGGTGACATTCAGGAAGTGCCCACCATCTCCTTGTTTTCTCTGTTCCCTACCCAGTCTCCCTCCTTTCCTCCGGGAGCTTCCCCTGAGGGGGACACCTCTCAGTAGCCCCATCTCCAGACCTCAGCATTCCCGCAGTGGTGGAGACCATCTCAACAACCATGATGGCTGCATGGCCCTGGGCATGTCAGGGCCGCAGGCAGCCCAGCCCTGGGGGAGATGCAAACTGACCTGCTCAACATGGCACTGTAGCCTGGCCGGAGAGTCAGGGCCCCAGATCATGAGAAGTCATTCCTGTCATTCCAGCACACCTAGCTCCTTGGAGGAGAAACCCATCCAGCGTCTGGGTGCCAGTGTGGAAGGCAGAATAGTGCTCCCCCTGCAAAGATGTCCATATCCTAATCTTCTGAGCCTGTGAAAATGCCACCTTACATGATCAAAGGGGACTTTGCAAATGTGATTAAGGAACCTGAGACAGAAAGACTATTCTGGGCTAGCCAGGGAGGTCAAGGGGTTCTAACAAGTTACAGAAGTGAAGAAGACTCCAAGTCAGAGGAGGGACGGTGGCAGGCAGAGTTGGCGTGATGTGCGGAAGGGGACCTCCGTCAAGGAACGGGAGCCTCTGGGAACTGGAAAAGACCAGGACGCCAATGGTCCCTGGAGCCCCTGGAAGGAACACAATCTGCTAGCCTTTTTGCCCTCTCACCTCTGGAACCATAAGATGATACATTTGTGTCTTAATCCACCAAGTTTGTGGCAATCTGTTATAGCCACAATAGGAAATGATACAGCTCTTGTTTTTGAACAGTTAGGAAACTTCCAGCATTGAATGCCACTTCTGTTTGTACTTCTCATCTCTGGGAGGATCCTTTCCTCTTTCTGGCTTGTCATACAGCAAGAAGGTGAATAGATATTGGGAACAGAAAGGATAGGAAAGCCAGCCTTTTGGTAAAGCCTTTGGCCTTTATATCTTTTATTTAAATATTTATTTCACTATTTTGAAAATTCCCCATCCAAATCACAGCTGTACCTGAAATCCAACCACCCCAGGTAATAGAATTTCAACCTGAGGCCTCCTGAGAATGGCGATTGCTAGAGTCAAAAAGAAACTGTCCAGCCCAAGCCACCCCCTGGACAGACAAGGAGCTGGCTAGAGTGAGGATGGGTGTCCAGGAGTGGGAAGGGTAGTAGGCCCTGCAGACGGTGCTGGAGCCCTTCACAGCTGTGCCTGGGCTCCTGGCCCTGCCCTGGTCCCGCCCGTCATGGCTGTTGTTGGTACTGGCTCTCGGTGGCCGTGTAGAAGTCATCCAGCACACTCTGGATATACTCGAAGGTGGGCCGCTCCTCCGGACGGTTCTTCCAGCAGCGCATCATGATGTTATAGAGCTCCTCGGGGCAGTGCTCTGGGCAAGGCATCCTGTACCCACGCTCCAGAGACCGGATCACCTCGGGGTTTGACATCCCTGAGAAGGAACCATGGAATTAAAAAGGAAGGGCTTGGGAAGCAGGAGCCCAGGGGTGGCAGACACTGTGGCCTCTCCAACAGCTGTCACTACCCCCCTCACCTTGCAAGCTGAGTCCCTCCCACTGTGAAAGCCAGATATTCCCTTCCCCAGCCTCCCTTGCAGACAGGGAATGGCCCTGGGACCTTGTTTTGGCCAGTGGGAGCTGACGGGGAGGTCTGCTGGGAGATTTCCAGGAAAGGTTTTTATCCATGATTAAAAGAGAGTCTTGGGCTGGAAGTAGTGGCTCATGCCTGTAATCCTAGCACTTTGGGAGGCTGAGGCAGGAGGATTGCTTGAGACCAGGAATTTGAGACCAGCTTGGACAACATCCCCATCACTACAAAAAATAAAAAGTAAGAAATAAAAATAGCCAGGTGTGGTGACGCATGCCTGTAGTCCCAGCTACTTGGGAGGCTGAGATGAGAGGATTGCTTGAACCCAGCAGTTTGAGGCTGCGGTGAGCCATAATCATGCCACTGCATTCCAGCCTAGGTGACAGAGCAAGACCCTATCTTCAAAAAATAAATAAACGAAAGAGAATATTTGGAAGAACCACCCTCTATCCCTTCCTTTGGATAATGAGAACTTGCAATACTTGGACCATCTGAACATGGGGAGAGGATTACCATGAGGAAGTCAACCCAAAGTTGTTTTTTTTTTTGAGTTGGAGTCTCACTCTGTCACCCAGACTGGAATGCAGTGGCTGCTCCCGGCCACCGCAGCCTCGACCTGCTGGGCTCCGGCGATCCTTCCGCCTCAGCCTTCCAAGGAGCTGGAATTACAGGTGTGCGCTACCAGGTCCAGCTAACTTGTTGATTTATTGTAGAGATGACGTCTCGCCAAGTTGTCCAGGCGGGCCTCGAACCCGCAGGCTCAGGCAATCCACTCATCTCAGCCTCCCAAAGTGCAGGATTACAGGCTGAGCCACCGAGCCCGGCTACAACCCAAAGTTCTAACAGCTGCCGAGCTACCCAGCTACCAACGTTGTACTTCTCACAGTGAGGAATAACGCCCTGCCTCGTTTCAGCCCCTCCTCGTCTGCCATCTTGTTGCCTGTGGCCTGAAGCATCCTCATGGTCACAAGGGTCTACAGCCCATTGCCTGGCTGACGAATGTACCATCCAGACAGAAAGAACATTCAGGTAGTCAGACTCAATGTCACTCCCTATGAGTGGGACCATTTCCTCATTCAATTTAAGTTTACATTACTCATACGAAAAAGCAGGAAATGTCTGTGAGCCCCAATTTTATATTATCAGTCCTGAATTCCAATCTCATGTATTCAAGCGCTTCCTTTACTTGGATGTCTGTAAGTCATCTGAAATGTAACAGGGCTGAAACTGAGCTCGACCATTGCCTACCCTGCTGCTCAAAGCCAAGGTTATCCTCCTTGATTCTCTCTCCCTCACCTACATCAGTAGGTTGTACCTTTTCTTCTTTTGACATGTAGTACCTGTTCATCAATCTGTCTCTGTCCCAACCCCACCGCCCTGTCCAGGCCATCACCACTGCTGTGGCTTCCTCACAGCCTGCTACTCTGCCCCCACCCCCATTCACTCTCCATGCTGAACCAAAGCATCACTTAAAAATGGAAATCAGGCCAGGTGGTGGCTCATGCCTATAATCCCAGCATTTGGGGAGGCAGGAGGATTGCCTGAGCCCAGGGGTTTAAGTTTCCAGTTTTGGGGCAACATAGCAAGACCTCGTTACTATAAAAAAAAAAAGAAAAGAAAGACAAAGAAAAAAAAATTAGCCACACCTGTAGTCCCAGCTACTCAGAAGGCTGAGGTGGAAGGATCATCTGAGCCCAGGAAGTTGAGGCTGTGTGAGCTATGATTGTACCACTGAAACAAAGTGAGACCCTAACTTAAACAAACAAACAAAAAACAGGCCTCTTTCTAGCCCAAGATCCTCCAATGGTTTCCCTTGTACTTAGATGAACACCCATGCTCTTCACCGTGACCCCGGGCTCCTGCTGACCTCATCGTGGTCCATCTACCCTGGTTCCTTGTCTCCAGTTACGTGGCTCCCTTGCTATTCTTCAGACACACCCCAGGCCTAAGGAGCGAGCAGTACCTTCTCCCGGAATCCTTCCCTGGGTCTTCAGCAGCTGTCCCTCAGTTTCAACATGATCTGCTCTGACTGGCACTCCCTGTCCCCCTCATTCACACTCGCACCCCCAGCTGCATCTCCTTCTCCAGTGCCCTCTGTCAGAGAGTTGATGGGTAGGGCCTGTCCCTCCAGGCTCTAGAGCACAAGCCCCATAGGTGCTCCTTACAAGGGATCATGTCCCTCTCTGTCCCCAACACCTGATGCATAGTAGGAATTCAGTAAATACTGTTGGATGAACCAGATGCCCACATCTTTTATTTTATTTTATTTTTTGAGTTGGAGTCTCACTCTGTTGCCCAAGCTGGAGTGCAGTGGCATGATCACGGCCACCACAGCCTCAACCTGCTGGGCTCAGGTATCCTTCAGCCTCAGTCTTCTAAGTAGCTGGAACTACAGGCACATGCCACCAAGCCCAGCTAATTTTTTTATTTATTGTAGAGATGAGATCTTGACAAGTTGCCCAGATTGGTCTTGAACCCATGGGCTCAGGCAATCCTCTCACCTCAGCATCCCAAAGTGTGGGATTATAGGCGTGAGCCACCACACCTGGTCCCTACATCTTTCATTTCTAATCCTCACAGCCACATGCAAAGTAGATATCGTTACCTGTATTTTTTACAGATGAAGGCAATGGGGTAGAAGGAGTAAAGTGAATCTCTCAAGGTGATGGGGACAGGATTAAAATTCAGCACTGTTCATATAAAAGGCAAGGGCTCTTTATAACCTAACTCTGGCTCTGGCTGCAGATACTACAAGCAGCAACCCAACCGAAGAAGGAACGGAGAACGACATTACTCATTGATCCCAGGCGATCGACATGCTGGGCACATCTTTGTATGCCCACATGGCCTACTCATGTAGAGCACTGCCCATGACAGGCACAGGATACATTAATGTACTCCACACATAGTTGCCAGGCATCCAATATGTGACAAGCACAAAGGTGGGCCCTGCACACACACATATAAGGAATGCAGACATGACTCTGGCCTCCTGGAGCTCAGAGTCCGATGGGGAAAATACTAAACAAATACACATTTATCAGTTGGGATGAATGCCATGAGTGAATGGGTGAATGGGCACAGGGCATTCTGAAGGAGCAAGATGGGGGAAAGTCCTTAGATGGCGGGGGCTGGCAGCCTCATGAGATAAAGCCGTGGCTGGGGTGGAGCTTGTAGGGCTACAGGCAAAGGAGGAGTCTGGGGTTTTGTCCTAATTATAATGGGAGACCATTAAAGCATTAGTGGTGGAGAAGGGATGAGGCCTGATTCACAGTTTTTTTATTTTTTAGTTGGAGTCTCACTCTGTCGCTCAGACTGGAGTGCAGTGGCACGCTCCTGGCCACTGCAGCCTTGACCTGCTGGGCTCTGCCTCTGGTGATCCTTCTGCCTCAGCCTTCCAGGTAGCTGGAACTACAGGCGTGCACTACCATGCCCGGCTAATTTTTGATTTATTGTAGAGACGAGGTCTTGCCAAGTTGCCTGGGCGGGTCTCGAACACGCAGGCTCAGGCAATCCATTCACCTCGGCCCTCCAAAGTGTTGGGTCAGGCTGAGCCACCGAGCCCGGCCCGATTCACAGTTTTGAACAAGCCCTCTGGCTGCAAGCGGAGAACAGGCTGGAGGCTAAGAGAAAGAAGGCAGTGAGGCTAACGAGGCCGCTGCACCATCCATGGGAGATACAGTGCTGGCCTAGGTATCGTGAAGGCTGGGGAGTCGGTGGAGTCAGCAGTGGGCAGGCTTGGGATGTGTTTTGGAGTTGAATGGCCCAGATCTTGTGACTGCTTGAGTGTCATGTGGTGTGAGAGAAAAGGAAGGACCAAGGAAGCCCCAGATTTCAGGCTTACGAAGCAGGATGGATGGTGGTGGCTTTAACTGAGACGGGCAGTGCGAGGGAGAGCTGGAGGTTAGGATCAGGAACTCAGTTTGAATGGATGCATGGACAAGATGGGCCCAGGGCCAGGTGGCCTGGAAGCAGCCTCAAGCCGATGCCCCCTTCCTTACCTGGGTAAGGAATTCGGCCATAGGTGACGATCTCCATCAGCAGGATACCAAAGGACCAGACATCTGACTTGATAGTGAAGGAGCCAAAGTTGATGGCTTCAGGAGCTGTCCACTTGATGGGGAACTTGGCCCCTGCAGGGTTGGAGAGAGCAGAGTCAGGGGGAGTCTGGGAAGTGGTGAGTACCGGGACCCTGCCAAGGTGAGGGAATGGGACTGGGCAAACAGCTGCCAACATCTGCCTGCTGCAGAGCTGCCATTCCCCTGCAGTGTGGCCTCCCTGTGGAAGCAAGGGATGCCCATCCTGAGGACAGATGGCTGACATGAGGAGAAGTGAGCAGAGGGGCCTGGGGTGGGGTATGGGAGCTTGCTCTCTGGGGGCCTCCTCATTAATTCAGCTGATATCCCAGTGAACTGTAACCCCCAGGCTGCAGACTGGTACTGGTCCATGACCTGTCAGAACCCGGGCCACACAGCAGGAGGTGGGTGGCGGGTGGGCAGGCATAGCTCCATCTTCTCTCAGATCTGCCGTGGCATTAGATTCTCCTAAGAGCACGAACCCTGCTGTGAGTTGTGCATGCATGGGCTCTAGGCTGCGCACTCCTTAGGAGAATCTAATGCCTGATGATCCCTCAACACGTTTGTGGAAAAATTGTCTTCCACAAAATTGGTCCCTGATGCCAAGAAGGTTGGAGACAGCTGCCTCAGTCCCTTGCCTCTGGCAAGGGGGGAGGGAAGATTTTGACTCTCCCCATCCTTTCCTCCCCCCCACCCCCCGCACCTGATCTGAGATGGGTTTAGTTAACCTTTTCTTAGTGTTCATCTTAATTATTTCATGGTTGGTGAATGTGGTCTCCAGCATTAGTGTTCTTTGGAATTCGTTGAGACCTGCTTGGTGGCTGAATCTATAGCCCAGTTTTGAAAATGCTGTGTGTGTGTGTGTGTGTGTGTGTGTGTGTGTGTGTGTGTGTGTGTTTCTCCTCCCTTCCTTCTGTTGGATCTACAGTTTTCTTTATTTCCTGCATATCTTCTCCGGGTTTAGAAACTACACACTCTACTTTTACTCTTTTAGTGGTTGTCATTAGCTTAAAACTTTTAAAAATTGAGTTGTGGCTGGGCTTGGGGGCTCAGGTTATAATCCCAGCACTTTGGGAGGCCGAGGTGAGTGGAGTGGGTTCGAGACCAGTCCAGACAACTTGGCGAGCCCTCGTCTCTACAAAAAAATCAAAAAAATTTAGCCAGGCACAGTAGTGCATGCCTGTAGTTCCAGCTATTTGGAAGGCTGAGGTGGAAGGATTGCCAGAGCCCAGCAGGTTGATGCTGGGATGGCCATGAGTGTGCCCCTGCACTCCAGCCTGGGCAACAGAGTGAGGCTCTGACTCAAAA